TGTAGTCTCAGAATCTTAGTGAGCGTGATCAGAGCGTGATCTTGAACTTCAACGTCTACGTCTACAAATGAACAATGTCACAGAGTGTGACTCTGTGACGTTGTTCATCTGTTGGGACTCTGTGACGTTCCTTTTCTCTTCAACCCACAACTTCACCACCACTCCGTCAACGCCAACGACTCCACCTCACCACCACGTCGCCGTCATGCCAGGTCACGCAACCCACCACTGCAAAGAACCCTGGCCGCCCAAACCGACAACGACCGCCCAACAAACAACACACAAATGGCCACCACCCACGAAAATCGACGACCAGCACCCACGAAAGTCGACGCACACGCCCATGGCACACCCACCGCAACGCAACAAGGATGCTGACGGCGCACGACGACACACAACGTCGTCACGGAACAACTACAACCACCCCGGCACCACAAGAACGACGCGGCAGCGCCACGTCACCAACCCCCAGCAAACACACGACATCGAAGGAGATCGACGGCAGGCGAGGACGACGGTGACGAGGTTGTGCCGTACCCAGCCTGGTAAGCAGTCACCACCCCAGCTTTTTCCCTTCTGACACCAATGAGGTGCCACGTCGCTAGCTGCGACGTGGCAACCGGACGACGAACGACGACATCGGTCGTCGTTCGTCGTCTTTGTTTCGCCTGGCGGACCACGACGACTGCCCTAAAAATGAAGACGACGATGGATGAAGGTGTGGGTGGTGGACCACGGACGAAGATGAACGCCCACGGACGACCACCAACGACCGCGAGCGCCCACCAACGACCACGAGCGCCCACCAACGACCACGAGCGCCCACCAACGACCACGAGCTCCCACCAACGTCCATGACCACCCGCGCGAACGTCCACGAGCGCCCACGAACGAGACGAGGGCGACCCGCCCACGAACGTTTACAACCGCCCACAAACGAAGGCGACCGCCCGCCAACGAAAACGACCGCCTGAACGGACACAAGCAATGACGAGCCTAGGGGAGCTCCCCCCCTCCATCACTCCTTACCCCTCCCCCTCTCCCCATCACTCCCTCCCTCCTCCATCACTCCCTACCCCTCCATTCCCTCACTCCCTCTCCCATTCTCTCACTCCCCCTCCCATTCCCCCTCTCCCTCTCTCTCACTCCCTCCCACTGCACACCACTCCCCCTCTCCCTCATTGCAGCACTCCCTCTCCCTCTCTCTTATTGCCTGGCACCCCTCCCTCATTGCCTATAACCCCCTCATCCCCTCCCTCATTGCCTAGAACCTCTTCCCCCCCCCCCTCCATCATTGCCTACCAGCCCTTTCCCCTCTCCCTATTGCCCACCAAACCCCTCCCCCTCCCCTTCTCTTTATTTCTGTATTTAATGAATGGTCTTTGTAGTAATGTAAATCTATGTAGTTTCATTCAATAAATTGCACCTTTGTCTTCTGCAAGATCTAGTTAAAAGTTATATGTCAAAAAATATATCCTGTTCAGGATATAGTTCAAAAATGTACCTTGGTAATATATCCTGGTTCAAGATATAGCTTAAGAATATATCTTGGTAATATATCCTGGTTCAATATCTTGTTGAATATATATCTTTGTTCAAGATAAAGTTGAAAGATATATCCTTGTTCAAGATATAGCTTGAGAATATGTATTGGTAATATATCCTGGTTCATTATCTTGTTGGAAATATATCCTGGGTCAGGATATAATTGAAATATATGTCTTGTGAATATATCCTTGTTCAAGATAAAGTGGAAAGATATATCTTGGTTCAGCATCTAATTAAAATATTCATGATATAGTTCAGAAATTATGTATCTGGATTCATGATATGGTTAAAATAGATCTTGGTTCAGGATTTAGTGGAAAGATATGTGTGACTCCATACTATGACATTGGTGAACAGAATTTGTTAGAGGAGAATGGAATTTGTTGTCAATAAAGTTACAATGAAGAGTCAAGAGAAAGAGGGAGGAAGGCAGGGAGAGGAGAAGAGGAAAACAGGGAGAGAGGAAGAGAAGGAGAGAAACAACAAAGAACTTGGTGAACTCTTGTCTGTGAAAGTGGGGTGGGAGAGATGTTTGATATCACATGCAGGGGTTTGACTGGCAGGGGATGGTAATACAGATGTGGGTGAGGTATGCAGATCAGGTGCAACTGGAGAGAGAAAAAGAGAAAGAGCAAAGAACTTTGTGAACTCTGGTTTTTGAAAGTAGATGGGAGAGATGTTTGATATCAC